TGGCCCGCGAAAAAAGGTCCACACTGACTTTGCAGCCCACGGGACAAGGGTGGAGCTGATACAATGGCATGCCATCGACGTGGTAGAGCTCCATTTTGGCACCTTGTGCCTTCTCCTTCTGCTCCACTCCACATGGTGCGCAGCTGCAATTGCGGAACATCAGGCTCAATCCTATTCCTTTAGGTCCCCGACATCTTGCGCTAAAGTTGGACTTATGGCATTGGGTGCGCAAAGGAGCGAGAGAGGTAAAGGATACAGGAGGGGCTGAAGCGACTGATGAGCAAAAACAAAGCATCGCTTCATCCGAATGTGACAGTACCTCTGCCAGCTCTCTTGACCTTGGAGATACGCCAAGCGTCTTGATGCTCCGCGTACTTGTCGAACAAGGGCTGCACCTTCTCTGCGCGCTTGCGCTTCGAGATCTGAGACGGGTCCGCTTGGCGAAAGTATCTCGGCGCAACTTCGACGAGCCACTTTGGCTCGATGGCGCAACATTCCCGCATGTACTCGCGCGTAGTCAACACCACCTCGTGGTAGATGACCATCTCTGGAGCGCGGTTGAATAATGATGAAGAAGGGTGAATGTAGACCGTGCCGCCACCTTCTGCCAAGCACTTGTAGCCTTCCTGAGGGTCCTTCTTTGCAGCATTGCGGAAGAAGCCGGAGCAAATGGCGCGTCGCACTCGATTGAAATTCTTTCCACAGGATATGATATCGTGAGAGTAGCGATCCATGATACCGAGCAGCTGCTTTCGCACATCCTGCGCACGCCGCATAGATCTTCCTTGGACGAAGTTGTCCATACACCAAGGCAACGAAAATTTGGACGCAGCCCAACCATTGTAGACTGTAAGCAGAGTCAGATGGTCACCCTCGGGTTGAAAGACTGTAACGAGGGCGTGCGAGGGTGTCAGAGTGTCTGCTGTGAGAGAATGTGACTGGGCCGCACTTACACTTGGCCTTCTTCGCGTCCGCCTGAGCTTGCTTCTCCTTGGGCCGGTAGAAGACGTTTTGAACACTGAGCATAGCAATGATGCTCAAACACTCTTCAGAGCAGCCGAGATCGACGCTGGCAATGAGCATCTTGGCTTGCTGCGGCTCCATGGGAAAGTCTGCCATCTTTCGACCGAGTCGTGTGAGCAGACCTTCATCGTCGAGCGCCGATAGAGCGTACAGGGCCTCGAGAGCAGTCAAGAGCGTCTGTGCTGGAGGTGGATCCATAAAGTCAAAGTTGATGAGATCATTGATACCCATGGCCTTCAGCATTAGGATGGTAGAAGCCAAATTCTGTCGCTGAATATCTGGAATGGGATTCGGTAGCATCTCGTTGCGGTACGCCGCTTCAGTGTAGAGACGGTAGCACTTTCCGGGTCCTGTCCGTCCTGCGCGACCAGCGCGCTGGCGTGCTTGAGCTTGAGAGATGGGCTGAAAATCAAAGTGCGTGAGCAGGGACAGACCGCAAGACAAATCAGCAGACAACTCACCGTGACGACCAGGCTGTCCATTCCGAGACGCGCGTCGTACGCATTTTGCTTGACGAATCCAGGGTCGATGACGTAGTATACACCATCGATGGTGATGCTGGTCTCCGCAATATTCGTAGCCAATACCACCTTTCGAGCACCCGGGGGTGCGGGTTCGAAAATGCGCGTCTGCATCTCCGAGGGCAAGGCAGAGTAGACTGGCAGGATGAGTAGCTCTGGCACACTGGGCCCGAGAGCTCGCATGCGCTCAAAGAGTATTTCACACGACGTGTCGATCTCCTCTTGACCGGTGAGGAAGACGAGAATGTCTCCAGGAGGCTCGGAGAGATGAATCTGCATCACGGTGATGAGCGCAGCGTCGAGATAATCTGACTCAGGCTCCTTGGTGTAGAGCACCTCCACTTTATACGTTCTGCCTGGAATGGTGAAGATGGGGCAGTCGAAGAAGTAGCTCGAGAATTTCTCGGCATCTAATGTGGCAGAGGTGACAATCAGCTTCATCTCTGGCCGCCTCTTGAGGGTCTTCTTCAAGAGACCGAACAAAACATCGGTGGCAATCGTTCGCTCGTGCGCTTCGTCGAGGACAATGACGGAGTATTGGCTTGCGTCTGGATCGATGAGACATTCACGCTGCAGCATACCGTCCGTCATGTACTTGATGCGCGTTTCGGGTGATGTGCAGTCTGCGGCAGCGAGTTGGACTGCATCAGTGCTGCAGACCCAGCTGATGCCGAAGAGAAGACAACTCACCTTCAAAACGGATCGTATAACCAACCTCTTGACCGACTCGACATCCCACTTCCTCAGCCACGCGCTTGGCCACCGAAACAGCAGCGACACGACGCGGCTGCGTACAGCCAATCTTGCCCCTGTCTGCAAAGCCTTCCTCGGCAAGATACTGGCACATTTGCGTGGTCTTGCCTGAGCCCGTATCTCCGACGACGATGAGGACTTGATTCTGAAATTCGTGCAAGGGCAAACAAGGTCAGCGAGGACACCGAGGGTTGTTGACCAAGCCAAACTCACATCCTTGATAGCCTGTATCAGCTCTTGTCGCAACTTGAAGATGGGGAGGCTCTGCCGTTGCTCCTGGATGCTAAGGCTGGTCACTTTGCCAAACGTGGTCGCCTTGTTGAAGGTCTCCTTTTTCCATGCAGGCTGGTCTGACGCTTTCTGCCCGAGAATTTCGCCCCGACGATCCATCGCAAAGGTTCTGTCGCCTTGCTGCGCCATTGGATCGTTCCATCCCGAAGACATGTCGCGAGCTTCAGCATCCGCCTCATCATTGATTTCTTGCTGTTTCAGCTCGCGTCGCTCCTTGGCCAAAGAAGCTCCGGCTAGTGCAGCACGATTCAGGGCGCCATCTGGCGCCTTGACGATCTTGACTGGCGACAACTCCAAGCTGGCGCCTGTCTGGCCAGCCAAGAAAGGCGCCTCGCGCTCATTGACTTCAATGTCCACCTCTTCGTCTGGGTTGTTCATGCCAGCGCGATTACTCGCAGGCGTGGCAAATGTCTCTTCTTCCATCAGTTCGGGATAATCGCTCGCTTTAGCAACGCCAGACGCGATGAGCTGCTTGAGCTCCCACCGCTCCGGGCTCGTCAGACGCTTGGCGGTGTTGCTGCCAGGCGCATCATCCTCAAATGATGGCGGCGCCTTGCCACCGTCCCCGCGACGACCCAGCGGTGCCATGTTGGATCCGGTCATGGCTCTTGCATTGAGCTTTTCGCGCTCCGCTGCAAGCTCAGCCTCGGTCTTGAGACGTAGGTGCGGAGACAAGTCCTTGCCGGTGGCTTGATCGACATCCTTCATGCTGAGACCGAGCCTGTTGCCAGCCACAGACATGACTTTGACTTTGACCGGCTGCCCGCGAGACAGGGCCTCCGAAGGATGGGTGAGGCGCGAGCCTCCTATGGAGCCAATGTGCACCATGCCCTCGTGACGACCTTGCACGCCCTCGAGTGAGACAAAAGCACCAAAGTCCTTCATGCCGCTGACTTTGCCACTGTAAATCTTGTACAGCACAGGCTTGTCATCGAGCGCCTGTCTGCCGTAGCCGCCTGGAGCCTGCCTTGGCCTTTCGTCGCGCCCCCTCACGGGCGGTGGTGCGTCGTATCGATCGCCATTCCTACGTGGCGGGCTGCGAGAGTCGCGTCTTTTGCCTGCATTGTAGTCAGGAGACTCTCGCTTGCCCCATCTCCTCTTTGGCGCATCCTCCTCTCGCCTGCCATTGCGATCAGCCAGCCTTTCCAAGTCGCGCATCGTGTCGTCCCCGTTTCTGCCAGCGCCGCCGCCATCCAGCGCCTCTTTGCGTCGCTCCTCCTCCTCTTGCATTTTGAGCTGCGCGCGCCTCCTCTGCTCGATCTCCTCTTGGCTGTCCTGGCGAGGAGCTGCCCAAGCAGAATCTGCAAGGGCCAAGCCGGGATACATGCGCCTCTGCCTCTCCTTTTCCGCATCCAGCTGCTTCTCCTCTGCGCTCATCATCGACTCGGCCTTGTCCTTGTTGGAGCTGGAAGCGGGAGCAGATGCGCCACCAGCCGCAGCGCTGCTGGACGCCGCTGCAGCATTGCCCTTCTTGTGCTTTGGGTGCAGCGCCATGATGAGTCGATCCAATGATTGCACAAAGGAATCGGGAAAAGAAGCGCCAACGCCTTGAAGCGCCGCTTTGAACTCTGCCAGAGATTTGGCGTCATCGTGGAGGGAGAGGATGAACTCTGCGAGGACGCGGTCATTGATGCCGGTGTGGTTCAGCAGCTCGTTGGAGATCTTGGACACCAGCGATAGCAGCTCCAGCCTGTAAATCTCATCCTGCTCCGACGGCATGTTTGATTTGCGGTGATTGGGCTGGAGAAAAGGTGAGTGCGGTGTGCGGAAGGAGCCCAATGCAGCACCAGAACGCGACTGCGATGCGCGCAGCCGCAGCCTGGATCGATGCGTTGATGAGTCTGAGTGAGCTGGCAGACTTGTGACTCGGCGGCGATGGCGATGGCGATGGCGGTGGCGGTGGCGGTGGAGTGCTTGCGAGTGCGGGAGGTGGAAGGAGTGGCAAGTTGGGATTGGTGAATGGAGATGCCAGTGTGAGTCAAGTGTCGAGTTGGTTGGTGACTGTGAGAGCGCAGCATCAACGCGCACCCTTGCAGGCCTTCC